GCACAAAGGGAAGGTGCTTCTTTGAACGGTAGCCCCGGAATGCGGGGGTTGTGGTCCCAGCGAGGCTGTGAGTCCCCTGCCCTCCTCATGGGTGCTGAGCCCATGTCTCCAGAACCAACACCCTCTGCCCTGGTCTCTCCTCTCCCCCTCACCCTTTAGTGCCACCCCACCCCACCCCACCACCATCCCTCTGGACCACAGCAAACTGCCCTTGGAGCACCCCAACTCCTCCCTGGGCAGGGAAAGGACCTCATTCCCATCCATCCATCCCTCCCTCCCACTGAAGCCAACTCCTTTGGCTCACTCAAATTCCCAACGATTGCAAAGACCACAGCACCAGCAGCAGCTCGAATGACAAATTTATTTGTGGATTCACCTCCACCTGCAAACCGAAGCGTTCAATGGGCTAATGCTAATCCTCGTGCTCCCCACGCGGGACCGGAGTGGCTCCGACATGAGGAGCGCGAGGCCGTGCTCAGTGGCCAAGTGAGCCCCTCTGGAACCTCCGGTCCTCCCCTCACCTCCATCCCTCCCAGCTTGGCCTCTGCAGGGAGCACGGTCCCACACATAAATACGGACAGACAAGATAACAAAAATAGCATTAATAGTATTCACAAATGAATTAAAAACTACTCGTATATGTACAGCAGAGCGCAGGCAGTATGTACACAGCTGTGTCTGCCCGCGGTGGGCTTCGAAGGATGGGGGCGTTTATTGTGGAAGCTAATTTCAGCTCAAAGGCCGGAGGTTCCCTGCTCCAGCAGCAGCAGGAGCAGCGTGGGAATGAGGGGGAGGGAAGGCAGACACCTCAGTCACTGCATGCAGCCATCACAGCCACGCATGGGCACTGCCTGCACTACGGGACTGGGAACGCGGGAACAGCAGTGGAGAGGCCAACAGCTCCTGTTGTCCCCAAAGAGGCTCCCCAGAGGTGAAGATGGCTCTCAGCCAGTGCCAGCCCTCACTTCCATCTCCCCTGGGCTTGCTTCCCTGCTCGTCTCATGAATCAGCTGCTCCCTGGCTTTGCCACCCCTGTGAAGGTGCTTCCCCTGACCCTTCCAATCGCCAGCTCTGGACTCCCGGACACCACAGCCCCAGCTCTCTGCAAAGCCCTTTGTGCCAGGGACAAGCACTCTCCCCCTCTCCTGCCTCCTTCCTCTGCCAGCGCAGAGGAGAGAAGGGATGGGCACAGGCTGGGAAGGGATGAGCACTGTCCCACAGCCATCTACATTTGGAGTGAGGAGGAGGAAGAGGACAAAGAACCCTTCAAATCATGCACAGCCCTGGGCCTGGCACACCATCCTCACCTGGGACAGGCCGCAGCTCCCAGAAACTGCGAATGTGGGGAGAAAGGAATTCTGACCAAGGGCAGAGCCCCTCACCTCTGGCCTCTGCCTCCTCCTCTTCCTCCCCCTGCCTCAGGGAAGAGCTCTGACTGGAGAAGCAAGGACAGGATAGGGATGCTGCAGGGAAGCTCCTGCCTCTCCCTGGTGCCTGTGCGTGCCAGAGACGGGGGCACGGAGCCTGACCCTTGCTCTGGCTGGGGAACTTTTATATTAGTGACACATCTACACACACGCACGCACTCACACATGCAAAAATAAGTCTGTTTATTCTCTTCCAAATTATTTGGAGAACCCTGCAGGGCTGGGACACCTTCTAGCCTGTGCCCCCCGCCAGCTGCCTGGATCTCCCCAGCGCTGGGAGCTGGTGGCTGAAGTGCTGCATTGGCCTCAGCGCCTTTTAAAACACAACGGAACAGTAAATAAGACGGGCTACAATAAAAGGAGCTGGCGGCACGAGGGAGAGAACTCCGTGGAGCAGGGTGCTCGGCCGGGATGGAGGGGCTGCCCCGGTGCCGGTGCTCGGGGGCGGAGTGTAGTGGATGTGGCGGTGGAGGCGCTCGGCGGCGGCCGCTCACTTGCGGCTCAGCAGGGATCCCAGCAGAAGCACTCCAGCCACTGTCGCCCCCGTCAGGAGCCATTTGTTGAAGGTCTCCTGGCCTTTCCTCATCTCGGCAGCAGCATCGTTCCCATAGAGGTCCACAAAGCGCTCCTGTGGAAAGAGGAGAGTGGTGAGCACGGGGGTGTGAGTGGAGCAGAGAGGGAAGGGCTGGTGGCAGGAAAGCGGTGGTGGGGACTGGGCAGATGACAGATGCCTTGTGCTTCCTCGCTCTGAATCATGCACACAGGGCAAGGGGACAAGCACAGTCATGAGAGAAGAGGATGCCAGAAAGGATTTGTGAGGAGAACACCACGCGGGCAGGGCAGGGGATGCATCACGTGCTCTTGGCTCTCTAAAATTAGCATCCAAGTGTGATAGAAATCATTGCAGTGGGAACCCGCTGGGCTCCATTCCCTGGCCAAGGCCTGTGCAAGCAGCACCAGGGCTGGTGCCCATGGCTGCGGGAGCCCACACCGTGCATCCCCCCAGTGATTTTGTGTCCACAGTGGAGCCTCCCACCTCCCACTGCCACATCCTGGCCCTCGCAGGTTACTCCACAACACGAGCTGGATTTCACGAATCCCTGCGGCGAAGGCAGACATTGGGTCGCCAAGCTACTGCCTTCCCACGGCTTCAGGAGAGCAGGCCAAGCACAAGGCTTGGCCAGGAATGCAGTCACTCCAGCCCAGCCTGTCCGAGCCGGCTGCCTCCAGCAGCAGCAGGAGCTGGGAAGACCTCAGCCCATGGTAAGGAGGGCTCTTGGGGTCCCTGAGCCACGCAGGGCAGGGAAGGCAGCAGGGAAACACGTGGCCAGGATCTCCCAGGTTTATCAGGGCTGAGCAGGAGGCTCAGAGCTGGATGGAGAGGAAGCTGTGAGCTCCAGGCTCAGGGATCACCAGCAGCTCAGCGTCAGCAGGGGCTCGATGCTGTCGCACCTTGAGCCCATCTTCCAGCAAGATGCCCAGGTTCCTGGTAAATGAGAGCAGTTCCAGTAACCCAGCTGCTCTGGGAAAGCAGAGATAAGCCCTGCTGACGCTGTCACGCCTCACCACAGCCTCTGCACAGGCAGGGGGAGCATTCCTGCCTGCCTGCTCTGCCAGCTCTGCCTCCCACACCTGCCCACAGCCTGTGCCCCAGGGCTGCGGGGGTTTGGTGCCCAGGTCATGGCTGGCATCCAGGTGCCTCTCTTCCATGGAACATGGTGCCAGTTCTCCCAGCTCCCACCAAACAGCCCCAGGATGGTCACAGCTTGCAGGGTATCTCCTCACTTGCCACATACCTATGAGCAAGCTCAGACAGTTTTTCAAAGCAGGGTGTGCAGCAGACCTGCATGTTTACTCCCAGGGAGCTGGGCTGTGTCCCTCTTCATGGCCACAGGGATCCTCAGCCCAGGGGACTGGGTCCTTGATAAGCTGTGCACCTCAGCACTCACCTCTGCCACCAAAGCTCTTCTCCATGTCCCAGCAGACAGCTCCCCCAGCTGCCTTCCACACCCCATGACCATGAGGAGGTACTCACAAATGCAGAGTGTTGGGACACAGGGACTTTGCTAACTCACCCTGGAGCATGTCACTGCTGCCACCTCACTTAGAGTCCTCTTGAGGGGTATGACAGTCATCCTCATGGCTCCACCACCCACACAGAGTGGCAGAATGCAGCACACTTCCCACCATGCCTGTCAGCTAGCACAGGATCTATGGAGGTGTTGTACTGTGTCCTGGCCCTGCAGGAATGGGCAGCATGGAGCTCACAGGCAGATGCTGTCCAGGGAGAAAGGTGAGTCCACTCACCCAGGGAACAGTGAGTGATGTGCTGCAGGAGAGGGACAGGAGCAGAGCCCAAACCCAAGAAGGAGATATTTTAAATTCTGGCACAGGAAATCCTTATGCTGATAGGTGGTGAAAAGTATGGAGCTGTGACAGGGCATGGCAGTGGCAGCAAACTGAGAGCAGGCTGGCAGGGATGGGGGGCACAGGGAACTGGGGCAGAAAGCACCTGTCCAAAAAACACCACCCCTACAACATTTGTGTCTGGGGAGATTTAGGTTGGATGTTAGAAAAAGGTTCTTCACCAGGAGGCTGGCTGGGCACTGGAACTGGCTCCCCAGGGCAGTGGTGGTGGCACTAAGCCTGAATAAGAGTTCAAGGACTACACTCTCAGGCACATGGTGGGATTGCTGAGCTGTCCTGTGCAGGGCCAGGAGTTGGACTTGATGATCCTTGTGGGTCCCTTCCAACTCAGCACATGTTTTAACCTCTCAGTGCCAGGGCCCTCGCTCCAGGGCTGGTCCTTCCCTTGGACACACATCCCAGCCCTTGCTCACAGCACCTGAGGCTGCAGAATGCTCAGCTGGAGGAAGGTGCCTGCATCCCCCAGATGTGATTTCCTCAGGGATTCAGTGGGACCTGCCTCACTGAGAGTCCCACACATCTC